CTGAAACGTTTAATAGGCCACTTACCGTAAAGAGCCCTGTACATAAATTTCTAATAAATGCTTGTTACATTTAGTTTCATTTAGTTAATGCTTTGCATTCTTGCATATTTTCAATGTATATTGTGTTTTTGAAAACTGATCAATGTATACTACAAATAAAATAATTTGATTTCTAGTATTAATAATAAGTAAAGCTCGGGGTTTTCGTCGGCTAGTCATAGGCGTGCCTGTCGTACACAGATAAATACACAGGTAGGTATAAATAAAAATAAATAAATTTGGGTACTTTATAAGAGAAAGGCGCGTTTGACATATTAGAATATTAATGGAACGCGAAGCTAATAACTGCCGCTATTACCGGTTTCGTACGGTGCGCTGTAGCAAAAGGCCGACGCGACGGCTATGATCATCCGACCGAGTTCCGAGCTCTGTTAATAAGTATTATATATTTTAATTTTCTTATTGTTCTTTTATTTTTCTCTCTTTTTAGTAGTACATATATGTGTAATGTTTGTTCTTCCTTACACTTTAATTGTGTTCTACCTGTTGAGCAACGGTGATTTTAAATAAGCAACTGTAATAAATTCTAATAATAGACTTACGCAGCCTATATCTATATTTGGAATCAATGCAACTATTCCTTTTGGCCAATATCATATTGATAAAGGACAGTAACTTCCTATTCCCCTTTCTAAGCCATATATCTTCCACGAGGATGAAATTTTTAATCTGGACATCTAGGCAAACGCGAAATGAACCCGCCTGCATCGTAATCTCTTCCTGCTTTTATAACATTACCGGAAGTAAGCACTACAGCCGTAGTAACCGCGGCTATCTGGCTATCGTGATTATTACATTGACAAGACTCAGCCGGCTGTGCATAAAAGGATTTATGAAACAATACCACGTCGCGCCGGTTCACTTAACCCCCGCACACGTCCCGCCTTTTATTAAACCCAAGAAATGCCATCTAATAACGCGCGTCCAATCGTGGAACACGCGACCTATTCCGCTTCTGATTTTTTTTCAACGATTTACCCGATATACCGGAAGAAGGTGACCGTATCCGGCCAGATGCCGGTGAATTTTCCAAACTTTTGACTTGGCTTGACGTGGTAATTGGCACAAATCTATGGGGTGATTTATTATGTACAGGATGCTTTCGGCCCCTCGGGGCTAGGAAAATTATGTCGGGGTGTACGGGTTAACGTTTTTTGGAGTGATTTAATAATAATTACTAGGCAGTCAACAGAAACGAAGACCTTATAGTATTTGGGACGTATTTCAGATTCAAACTGGCAACATTCGATGATGTCTGATGCATCGATTGATTGACTAAAAGTAACGCTGATGTTAAATAAGTATGTCCTGATTTTTGTCACGTAATTATTTACACCGACACACAAAAAAAAATGGTCTGTACCTTTGATTTGACCCATTAAGATTTATGTATTTATGTATTTTACGTACCGAATCCGAATCTGAAGTCCATCTAAGGTCAAACACCGCCAAAATTTTGAGTAACTGGAAACTGTAGTGAAAAGTCGACGAAAATCACGTTAGTGATGGCAAAAAAAATATAAAAAATTTGTTCTCAACTTGCTCAAGTGGTTTCTTATATATTTTTATGTGCTTATACAAACTTGAAGTATTTTAAGCTGCATTCCTTCCAGATTTTGCAAAAGTCACCAAATAAAACTGAAAAATCGCCAAAAATAGCGAAAAATTGCCAAAAATCGCGATAGTGAGCGCAAAAAAAATCGATTTTTCTTACCTTGATCAAGTGTGTTTCTTATGCATTTTGATACACTGAAATGGAGTCTGAAGTCTATTAGCTGTCTCCAAGGTTTTGAGGAAAGTAATCAAGATGAGGGACTGTAGGAGAAAATAAACTACTGAGAACATCACGGAAAGTATGCGGCCAGGAATCAGGCAGGGTTCACAAAACATCTTTGCTTCTTATGTTTATAGGCTATTGATTATAGGATTTTAAAAGGAACTACGACGTTCAAAATATTTTATTACATAAATCGTTCAAATGGTCATTTTAGATGAAAAAATCGCGGAGTGCTATTAAATTAGAGGGTGAAAATTGGAGATAAGGGTGAAAATGCACCCTTTCAGTTTTTTAATTGTAGCTCGAAAACGAAGCAAAATTTCGCTATAGTTAATAGGGAAAATTATTTAGAACATTTAATTTCCCTTCAAAATGGCTTATTTAAAAAATTTAAAAGAAAAATTTTATGCAAAAAATCGTTAATTTGAAAAAAAGTAAAAAATTCGATTTTTTTATTTTTTTTTTTACTTTTTTGCCTATAGTTTTTTTTGAGTAAAGATAGGTATAGGCATTACTTTAAAAATAAAACTAGATAAAATTTCCTTCAAAATAAGAAGTTGTAAAGTATTTTTGGATGAAAATTGACTGATATATGGCCGCACAAACTAACAATTAGCCAATTTTTCGATTTTCGTGGCGTTTACCCTACGTTTTAATTCTAATTTTTTGCAAAAAAGGAAGGAAATAAGTCGTTCAAGGATGTTCAAAACCGCGGAGTTCTATTAAATAAGATTCACATTGAAGATGGGGGTGAAAATGCACTTTTACATTTTTTTAAATATAGCACGAAACGAAGCAATATTTCGGTATAGTTCATAGGAAAAATTTTGTAGATAATTGAATTTCCCATCGAAATGGCTTATTTAAAAATTTTAAAAGAAAAATTTTATGCAAAAAATCGTTAACAAACAATTTAAAAAAAGCAAAATATAAGATTTTTTGATTTTTTTACTTCTTTGACTATATTTTTTTTTAGTGGAAGTAGGCAAAGAAAATTGCTGTCCAAAAAAGTAGATGAGATTCCCTTCAAAATGATGCGTTTTCAAAAGGTTTTGGACTAATATTGACTGAGTTATAATCGGTCAAACTTAAATATTTTTTAGATTTTGGTCGTTTTTAACGATTATAATTCTTATTATCTTTACAACAAATTGGTTCGTTACTTAATAAAAAAATTTTTCAAAAGTTTTACTAGTTAATAATAAATAAAGATTTTCACTACTTAGGGTCAAAAAAATCTAATTTTTTAAGTAACAAACAATTTAAAAAAAGCAAAATATAAGATTTTTTGATTTTTTTACTTCTTTGACTATATTTTTTTTTAGTGGAAGTAGGCAAAGAAAATTGCTGTCCAAAAAAGTAGATGAGATTCCCTTCAAAATGATGCGTTTTCAAAAGGTTTTGGACTAATATTGACTGAGTTATAATCGGTCAAACTTAAATATTTTTTAGATTTTGGTCGTTTTTAACGATTATAATTCTTATTATCTTTACAACAAATTGGTTCGTTACTTAATAAAAAAATTTTTCAAAAGTTTTACTAGTTAATAATAAATAAAGATTTTCACTACTTAGGGTCAAAAAAATCTAATTTTTTGCTTTTTTAAAATTGTTTATTAACGATTTTTTTACATAAAATTTTTCTTTTAAATATTTTAAATAAGCCATTTCTATGGGAAATTCATTCTCCGCAAAATATTTCCTATGAACTATACCGAAATTTTGCTTCGTTTTCGTGCTATATTTAAAAAACTGCACAAGTACATTTTCACCCCTATCTTCAATTTCAACCCTCTAATTTAATAGCACCCCGCGGTTTTAAAAAAAAGTAAAAAAATTTAAAATCCAATTTTTTGCTTTTTTCTCAAATGGTTGATTTACGATTTTTTGCACAAAATTTTTCTTTTAAATTTTTTAAATAAGCCATTTCGATGGGAAATTCAATACTCTACAAAATTTTCCCTATGAGCTATAACGAAATTCTGCTTCGTTTTCGAGCTACAATAAAAAAACTGAAAGGGGTGCATTTTCACTCCTATCTCCAATTTCCACCCCCTAATTTAATAGCACTCCGCGGTTTTTTCATGTAAAATGCATACAATAAAATTGCTTGAACGCCATAGTTCCTTTTAACCCTGTTTTTTGGATATAATTAATAGCCTTTTATAGGAATTTCATCCAGGGTCGAGAAACATCATGCGTAGACCAAAGACCACTGATTGAACCTTCACAAATTTTACTCCTCATATCAAGCTTGGTCTCATGAAGCAGTTTGTCAAAGCTCTGGACAAAGATGGTGACTGTTTTCAATATTTAGGAACGAAGTTTCCAGCGATAAGTCATGCGAAACTGAAAAAAGGTATTTTTGATAGTCCTCAAATTCGTACTCTTTTTCGAAACGAAAATTTCGCTACAAGAATGAATGACACTGAAAAACCAGCAAGGCAAAGTTTCAAGAACTTCAGGAAATGAGAAGACTGTGAATTAAGAAAATTTGGTTGAAGAGAAAATTTTAAACAGTTAGGTTGCTTGATGAATATTAAATTGCACTTCCTACACTCTCACCTTGACTGATTTCTTCAAAACATTGGAGACTACAGTGAAGAACAAGGAGAATGATTTAATCAAGATATAAGTGAAATGGAAAATCGACACCGAGGAAGATGGGATATCAACATGATGGCAGATTTCTGTTGGACACTGAAGAGAGAAACAAATCAGAATAAACAGAAGAGAAAGAGAAACCAGCTGCATAAGTCGTTCGAAAAGAAAAGAGTTCGCTACAAGAAAAGCAAAGTGTAAGTGCAACAACAAAGAAAGTCTTGTTGGAGTCAGTCCAAATTATTTGGAAGCAATTCATATCCATGACATTTATTTCAAGATTTTTTGGGACTTCCATTTTTATTTCGATGTTTTCGCACCAATTGAATAATGGAAATAATTTTTTACTACATTCTCTTTATTTTGTGGATATTTACAAATGTATGTTTAATTTTCTGTATTTATCTTATTTTTCCTTTTTTTTTTCAAGGTAGGTACGGTGGAAAATCAGAAGCTTTTAGACCTCCGAACTTTACATTTTACTGTAGTGTAATTGTTATTTTAGGACTTATTGTAAATTTAACGGTCATAAAAGCATATTATTTTCATTATTATTATTTACCTGTTTCTCTGTCGGATCTCTCATCAGCGGATGTGGAATCGGCAAACATATCTTGAAGGTTCAGTGGTTCTCTTGGACTCAGCGTCAGCTCAGTGCCAGAAGGAATGTCTTGAAATGTTTCATACCAAAGCTGAAAATGGGACATCTTTAAAACGCATCTTATTTTCTGTTCTGTTTTGTTAAATATTTATTAATAATATCAAAACAGATTCTGGATTGCCTAATGCACCAAAGATTCTCGTGACTAAACCAAAGAAATTCACCCCGGTATTAAACTGCATTCTTAAAAAGATTTGAGCTTAAAAAAAATTATTTTTATTTCAAATTTTTCGACAATTCCGTCACATCAATATTTCAATGAAATTTGGTTTTTGGAACAGCCAAACCTGAATAGGATCTTATTTTCGTGTCTAAAATATAGGCGTCGCTAAAAACACCTTAAATAGTATTTTGTTATTTTTTATTGTATTTTTTAGAGATTTGAGAAATGCAAGTATTTTTTCAAATATCCCTTTATTTACTGTAAAAAGGATACCTACAACTGTTACATATCTTTTGCCGAACCAACAAATTCATCGGTTAATAAGAAACGACAAAGATGCATCATTTGGTGTAAAGAAAAACAAAATCTAGGCATATTTAAGCCCATAGTGTATGGCTAACTTAATTTTCACTGTTCGAAAGGTGACAACTGACTATAGGCAGTTAAGTTATTACCAGAACACGAAATTAATGGAAGCAATTCAATTAAAAAATACTATAAAGACACCTGATAGTCATCGTAGTTTTTAGCGTAACAAGTATTAAGGTGATAAGCCACTTTATTTGATCAATAAATGTTATGTGATTCATGAATCGTATGTGGGTATGCCTCACAATAAAAACATTCACGGTTATCACGTTATCAAAATAGCATTTTATGGGAACAAATTAATAATCGCATTGTTAGCCTACTCGAACGTAGGGACCCATCACGCAATTCCTTGTCATGATGATGTAACGTTTTTTGTCAATAAACGAAGTGTGTAATTTATTACAGTTTCCTTCAGAATGTACGCTTGTGTTTGGCTGACATTTGCCAAAAATTTCATTATTCATGTATGTATTTCCTTGTTCAGGGTATTTTCAAGCTGATACAAAATTATAAAAAATGAGAAAAGCAAGATAGAAAATTATCTATTGAAAACTATGAATTAACTCTTTCTAACTAAAGTGAATAATTATTTATTTATTTATTTATTTAGACAATACACTACCCTACGGAAATTCCAATTACAGGGTAGATACAAACAGAAAACTACATCATACACTACATGTGAGATAAGTAACAATACAAATATTACATACCTAAACAATTAGACAAAACAGTACATAAATGAAAAAACAAATATAATTTAATTTGTAAATGTAAGTATTGGAATATTATTAGCGTATGCTGCCTCCTCTACTTCTAATTACTGCATTTATATGCCTAGGCATGCTTCTAATAAAATTTTGAAAAACATTCTGTAAGAACTGCATTTTCGAGTTCTCTCAGGTTGGCAGGTGCAGGTATATGACGTCTTACGTTTCTTTTAAGCATGTCCCAGAGATGTTCTTTCTGATTCATGTCCGGACTTTTTGGTGACCACTCAATAAACGGTATATGAACGTCATTGAGGTAATTCAGTATATCTATAGCAACGTGAGGTCGAGAATTGTCCTGCATAAATAAAAAATTGTCTCACAAAAAAGGACCAAATTACATTACATGTTCAACTACAATGTTCTCCAGATATAAATTTGCATTGATAGATCGGGATCAAGTAGGGACTAACTCTGTTTGAGCGTCATAACAAATTCCTCCCCAAAACATTATAGAGCCACCACCAAATGGAATCTTTGGAGAGATATTGCATTGTGCAAATATTTCTCTTGGTCTGCGCCAGACTCGTTCGCTACCATCAGGAGATTTTAGGCTCATCCTAGTTTCCGTGAATAGAACTCTTTTCCAACCGTTTACAGACCAATTACGATGATCTCTGGTAAAGTGCAACCTGGCAACTCTATTATGTTTGGTAAGCAGTGGTGCAATTGCTGATTTTCTACTTGCCAGTCCAACTTCTTTTAGTCTTCTTCTAACTGTTCGAACATAAATCGGAATATTTCGGATAGCTTCGAGTTCATTTCTTAAGGCCGAACTAGTGATTGACCAGATTCTTAAAGCAGATTGCCTAAGAAAACGTTTATCTCTTGCAATGATACATCATTTTCGCCCTTGACCTGGCCCCCGACAATAAGTTTCCTTTTCATTAAAACCTCTAATCACTCGACTTACTGTCGAATGGTTTACTCCCAATAAGTTGGCCATAAAATGCTCAGAATATCCCGCATCATGTTAATGCTCGAACTAACTCATGTTCCGTTAAATTCCTTGGACTATTCATTTTCAAACTTCAAATTATCTCTGTTAATATCCAAAACACGCAAACAACGATAAACACGTTAACCAGAAAAAAAACAATAATTAATTTCGGTTTCCAACAGATTTTATGGCAATTAATGATTAAGGGTACCGCTTAACTCAAAAGCGTCACTTTACAATTGCTAAACAAATGCAATTTGTTTATAGAATTGACAGAAAAGGTCCAAAGGCTACTATTTATATTCTTGGTAGACACGCAAAATAATTTAAAACATAATTCTGAAATTTTTTATGTTAGTGCGTTAATTTTGTCCAGGAGCGTAATTTGTTATTGAAGACGATTTACCTTATAATATACTTAATATAATTAATAATCTAGGCAAAACAAAAAATATAGTTCTTAATTAATAGGAAATTAATGTTAATAGGAGCACTACAAGGGGATGACTTTTCCAGATTTTTTCTGCAATGAGTGATCTTAAAAAAATTGCTATATACAGGATGTTCCATCTAAGAGGGATTCTTCTGTAACTGTGCAGCTGTAAAATTGGATCTTTATACAAATAGGCTGGAAATAATTGTCCTCAACATTAAATTTTATCAGATGTACCTAATGCAACATTATAGGAAATTATAATTTGCTAAATTTTATAATAAATTAATTCTAAGTTAAAGAGTTGTAAATATATAAATATTTTATATATTATCGTTGTTGCTCTGTTCCCAAATAATCAATTATCCAAAGATTTTAATCCACATGTAATGAAAGACAGTTTTAGCAAATTAACATGAACGTTTATTTGCTGATATTCCTAGCATTCACGAGTAGGTAATCAGTTGCGGAAATATAGAGCCGGGGTAACTTAAGTATTTAGTTATTCTTTTTTAATCCAGCGTGTTCGAATTAAACAAAAAAAAAAACTGAAAATTTAAAACACAGTTCTGAAAATAACTACTTTTCCATAACACTTATATATAT